ACATATAATGTAAAAAAAACTTAAACCTATGAAATACTTATTAGAGTCCTTTTTATTTGCAACAAATATAGTACATTAAATAACATACACATTTTAATGCAGTAACAAGTAACATATATTTATGTTAGCCTAATCAAGTTTATAGCATCCAGAGAAAGTCGATCTAATGAAAAATGTTTCATAACTTTTAAATTAAAAACTTATTAAACATTTCGATATTGGATTGATCTTCTCTGCGCGCTATATGTTTCATCAGGCTAACATAAACATATGTTACTTGTTACTCCATTAAAATGTATGTCCCAATATATATCAAATATTAGTAACATAATATTGATGTTAAAATGTCCGCTCAATGAGATACCTGTTATATAACTGTTATCTGCTTGAATTGATATTTTAATATCGATGTTATGTAACTAATACTTGATGTTTACGGCGATATTTCCGAATGTACTATGTATTTGATATGTAAATATAATGTAGTTATGTTGGCTATGTTACATACCATAAATAGAACATTTAGAGCATTTGTAACGTATCTTAAATAGATCATAGAAGTACTTTTGTTGCTGACATTTCGTAGTACATGTAATCTACATGTATGTTACTTGCTACATAACTGGTCACTTCGTGATCTTTACTGTTACGTATTTAAAACATATATGTTATATTATTGTGTTTGCTGGGATTAGAATTAAAATATGATAAGAGCGGATAATAACTAATTGCCTTAAATTAAACTATTATAAATTAAGACTTAAGAATATATACCTTGATAAACCATCAATAATCTTGTCAGTACTCGTAGGATTATCCGAATGGCTCGCCTCAGAAACAATGGTGCAAACGATACGTTGTATACAAGTTATAACATAATTATTACCAAGTATGATTTCATTCATCGTGTTTCCCATCCATGACCATTGCGAATCAGATCCTACGAATAAATTCACTATTTTCGTAAATATAAATTTTAAAATTATTACGTGTATACAGGAAACAATCAGTACTATTAAATTTTAAAATATCTCGGTAAATCTTTAGAAAAACGGACCCAGCAGCTATGATCTTGACGTTAACAAATGTTGTAGAGGTCACCCTCTTGAATAATCTTCAAAAGGTTTTAGCCCACGCTCTTGGTTCGTTAAAAAGTTATTAACAAAAGAAGTTGCATAAAATGAGTGTAATTTTTGGATATTGTATATACAAAAACATGGAATTTGTAGGCTGGAAAGGTGCCAACCGTATGCACGTACACACACACACACACACACACACACGCGCGCGCGCGCGCGCGCGCGCACGCACACACGCACGCACGCACGCACGCACGCACCCACACACTGCTCGACAGCGCGCTCGCCTGCCCGACAGGGGGTAACATTATAAAATATTACTCCCAATAATATAAGTAATATTAAATATTCCTCTAAAGTTCAATTATCAAAATGTATAAATGTAAACAATAATCATTTTAAACATTTATAAAATAAATTTTTATTGCATTTCAATTTTTAATGTTTTTTTTTCAAATTTGCGTGTTACATTTAAGTATTAAGTTATTTATATTAATGACTATATCTTAAATACATCAGCTAATACGCAACTCAAATAAAAATATATATTTTAACTGAAAAAAGTACTAATGATTTTAAAATAAAAAAAAAAATACTTTAAACAAAAGTTCATTCACTACAATATCTTTTATCACACATATATTTTACATACATACATACACGCGCAAACACATAAACACACACACACACACACACACTTCTTTTTGTATAACTATTAATCATCGTAATCATACAACAATATATTAAAGAAAAATTTTATTTATTATATCAAAATTTCTTTTAATATAATTTCTCATGCAGAGCGCATGTGTATCCGTATTCTTTAATTTTTTTTTTTATTTTATATAATCTTAGCACATATAAGATCCTCATTTATAATCAATTGTATAGATATAAAAAATATTAATAACATTTATTCATTGCTATAAAAAGTAGAAAAGGTTTCATTAGCACTCCTGTTATATTTTACTAATATATAGCTGTCCTCTTCATTATCTTGTTACATAACATATTTATATTATGTGTTATTATTTAGAACCAACAATCTACAAGAAAAATATATAAATATTTTTAGAGCCTCTTGACTACTGTCTCTTTTTAATTCACATATCATCAGCTTCAATCCACACATTAGAAGATCCATCTTTACATATACTTGTATAATGATATATACAGAGTGCCCGAAACCTTTCTTGACACAATTCGTAGGAAAGTAGAACGGATTAAACGGAACAGAAAAGTTAAATACCATTTTGCGAAATTCGCAATAGTTTTCGAGTAATTAATTATTTTGTTTCAGCAAATTAGGGCTTGGGTCGGCGCGCGACCGTGGTACAAGCGAATCGCCGTTTGCTGCGTCTCTCCGCACATAGCTATGCTGTATCTCGTAACTATAATAACTATGGCTACGAGATATATCGTAGCTATGGGCGAAGAAACGCAGCGAGTCGCGATTCGCGTGCATCATGATCGCGCGTATCAGTTGCGCGCCGGCTCGAGGGCTTATTTGCTCAAACAAAACAATACAGGCACACAAAAAGAAAAAAAGTTGTTGTTCGCTAGACTACACCACCGTATCTATATGTTTTCGGGGTCGCTGGATACGAATCCATTGTCCGTTAAACCCCACCACGTTACCATTCGTCTCAAAAAATACCTAAAAATGGCTAAAACCGCTCTTTTTAAGTTGAGAAATGAAGCCTGACAAACATACCTATATGTTTTCGGGGTCGCTGGATCCGAATCCGTTGTCCGTTGACCTCCATCACGTCCACCATTCGTCCCTAACCTCAAAAAATACATCGAAATCGCTGAAAAGGCGTCATTGAAGCTGAAAAAATGAACACTGGCGACTGAAATCTGTAGGCAATAGGCTATTTATATGGTTTTGGGGATGTTGAATTTGAATTTTGAAGTCGGATTAGCTTAACAGGTTAAAATTATTTTTTAACTCCAAATATTATCGCAATTTTCTGTTTACTTTTTCCTATGATATCTAACTCTTTTATCTTCAAAAGATCTATGGAATGGCTTTCTTTTACGTTTGACTCCTTTTCATACATTTTCTCTTTTCCAAATCCAATAGTAGTCAGTCATCATATTTATACTCCATCTCCCTTGATAGCGACGCTCCATTACTTTTAGATCTTGGTGAAATCGTTCTCCTTATTCCTTAGTCTCCTAAATTTATTGGGAAATAATCGAGATGAGAATTCAAAGAGTGCAGCTTAAGATTCATCAAACATCCTAATTTTCCAAAGTTTTTCACCATATCCGCTACTATTTGTTCGTAGTCATCACTTTTATGATTGCCCAGAAAGTTCTCTACAACTTTCAAAAAACTAATCCACGCAGCCTTCTCATTCTGATTCATTAACTTGATGAAATTCTCATCCTTCAATATTTTTCGAACTTGTGGTCCATCGAAAATGTCTTCTTTTAATTTTGCATCAGATATTCCTGGGAATTGTTTTCCTAAATACTCGAAGCATTTTTCTTCTCCTTTGAGAGCCTTGACGAACTGCTTCATTAGACCAAGTTTTATATGAAAAGGTGGGAGCAATACTTTCTTTGGATTAACTAAAGGATTAGCAATGATGTTGTTTGAACCTAGTTCACACAAAGTTCTCTTTGGCTATATTTTCTGTTTATAGTGATTGTTACGGTCTCGACTACGCCATGAACATAAAAAGCAAGGGAAATTCGTAAAGCCTGATTGTTGGCCTAATATCATGTTCAAGACTTTAAGATCCCCACAGATATGTCACTTATGTTTTAAATATTTAATTTTCTCTAAAACTAGTTCCATATTACTATAATCCTCTCAATCTTGTTGAATGTGCGGCTAGTATAGGGACGAAAAAGTTGGTATTATTGAGCAAAACTGTTTTAGAGAAAATTAAATATTTAGAACATAAGTGGCAAATCTGTGGGGATCTTAAAATTTTGAACATGATATTAGGCCAACAATCAGGCTTTACGAATTTCCCTTGCTCTTTATATTCATGGCGTAGTCGAGACCGTAACAATCACTATAAACAGAAAATATAGCCAAAGAGAACTTTGTGTGAACTAGGTTCAAACAACATCATTGCTAATCCTTTAGTTAATCCAAAGAAAGTATTGCTCCCACCTTTTCATATAAAACTTGGTCTAATGAAGCAGTTCGTCAAGGCTCTCAAAGGAGAAGAAAAATGCTTCGAGTATTTAGGAAAACAATTCCCAGGAATATCTGATGCAAAATTAAAAGAAGACATTTTCGATGGACCACAAGTTCGAAAAATATTGAAGGATGAGAATTTCATCAAGTTAATGAATCAGAATGAGAAGGCTGCGTGGATTAGTTTTATGAAAGTTGTAGAGAACTTTCTGGGCAATCATAAAAGTGATGACTACGAAAAAATAGTAGCAAATATGGTGAAAAACTTTGGAAAATTAGGATGTTTGATGAATCTTAAGCTGCACTCTTTGAATTCTCATCTCGATTATTTCCCAATGAATTTAGGAGACTAAGGAATAAGGAGAACGATTTCACCAAGATCTAAAAGTAATGGAGCGTCGCTATCAAGGGAGATGGAGTATAAATATGATGACTGACTACTATTGGATTTGGAAAAGAGAAAATGTATGAAAAGGAGTCAAACGTAAAAGAAAGCCATTCCATAGATCTTTTGAAGATAAAAGAGTTAGATATCATAGGAAAAAGTGAACAGAAAATTGCGATAATATTTGGAGTTAAAAAGGAATTCTAACCTGTTAAGCTAATCCGACTTCAAAATTCAAATTCTATATCCCTAAAAACATATAAGTAGCCTATTGTCTACAGATTTTAGTCGCCAGTGTTCATTTTTCAGCTTCAAAGATGCTATTTCAGCGATTTTGAGGTATTTTTTGAGGTTAGAAGGACGAGTTAGGTTTTATGAACGAATGGTGACGTGATGGTGTTTAACGGACAACGGATTCCGATCCAGTGACCCCCAAAACATATAGATATGGTGGTGTAGTCTATGGAACAGCAACTTTTTTCTTTTTGTGTGCCTGTGTAATTAATTCCTTGAAAATTGTTGCGAATTTCGCAAAATGGTATTTGACTTTTCTGTTCCGTTTAAATCGTTTTACGTTCCTACGACTTGTGTCAAGAAAGATTTCGGACACCCTGTATATACAGGATGACCCATTTTAATCGATCATCTCAATTATCTCTTGAACAGTGCATATTAAAGAAAAATGTTTCAGATAAATGTTTTAGGATTTCGAAGGGGACATAAGATGATATCATTGGTTTGACCTTGAGTGGCGTCGTCAAGATCAGGACAAGGTCATTTTGAATTTTTTAAATGAAACCTCCCTGAATATACAGGGTGTTGGGAAAGTACCGGGACGCCCGAATATCAGGAAAAATATAAGTTTTACAAAAAAATGTTTCAGACAAAAGTTCTGGCGTTTAAAAAGATGTATTTACTGATCACATCAGTTTGACCTTGGGTTGCGTAGCGAAGGTCAGGTCAAGGTCACATTAATTTTTTTAAATGGAACACCCCATTTTTCATTGCATATTCTTATAGCACATCTCGAGA